AAGAAAGAGAGGAATTCTATGAGGTGAAAGTCAGGACATAGTTTATTCCAGTCCTAGGGAATGGCCTGTGAAAAGGCACAGAGACAGAGGATTGAATATCACGTGTCAGGAACAGAAATAAGGCCAGTTTAAATTTTAGAGAGTAAGAAGGGAAGTAATGGACAATGAGCCTGGAAAGATAGGTTAAGACAAGGTTATGGAGGGCTTTAAAAGCTAAACAGAAGAACACACACACACAGACACGTATGTATGTATGTGTGTGTATATGACATATATGATATATATTATATATACATACATATATATTATATATATACACACACATCAAACATACATGCATATATATATATATATATTCTAGAGGCTCTCGAAGTCATGAAATTGATTAAGGGAGTGACATGGTGAGATCTGTGCTTAAGGAAAATTACTTTGGCAGCAGTGTGTAGGATGGATTATAGCAGGTGAGGAGCAGGTGAGAAGCAATTAGGGCCTAAACTAATGTAGTTAACTATGTGAGTAGAGAGAAGGGATCTCATACTATCCTTTTGGAAAAGTAAGAGAGATGTGGACTAAATGATAACTATGATTAAAGAACTGGTTGAACAATAGAACTCTACGAGAAGTAGTTAATATTTTTATGTCAGTCGGGAAGAAAGTCTAGGATGCTGTGCCATAGGGACCTATGCTTAACTCTGCACTTCTTAACATTTTTATTAATGACTTGGATAAAGACAGTACAATCCGCAAATAACACAAAGGAGTGATCACAAACACACTGGATGGCAGAGTAAGGATCCAAAAAGATGTAGACAGACCAGAGTTTTGGGCTGAATGCAATGAGCGATAAATTCAATAGCAATAAATGTAAAATCTTACACTTGGGTTCAAAATAAAAATCTTCACAAGTACAAGATGGCAGTAGGCATGGTTAGACGGCAGTTTATCTCAAAAAGATCTGGTGATTTCACTGTCCCAAAAGTTCAACATGTGTTAGCAGTGTGATATGGCAGCCAAAAAGAGCTAAAAAATATCTTGGGATCCAGAGAGTCATAACTTTTAGAAAAAAAAAGGAAGCAATAGTCCCTCTATATTCGGCATGGGTCAGAGCACATCTGGGAAGTTGTGTTCAATTCTGGGAACTACAGTTTAGAAAGAACCTAGATATGCTGGAGAGGATCCAAAGGAGGGCATGTGATTGGGTAGAAGACCTTGAGTCCTATTATATGAGTATTGGTTGAAGTAACTGGGGATGTTTAGCCTAGAGAAGAAAAGATTCCATGATAGGTATTTGAAGAAATGTCACATGAAAGAAGCATTTGACTTATTTTGTTTAGCCCCAGAGGGCAGAACTGCGGTAGAAGGCGCAAAGAAACAGATTTAGGTTTGATATCAGAAAAGAATTTAGCAATCAGAGCTCTCCAGAAGTGGAAGAGCCTTCCTTGTGGGCAGTGTAGGGGAGTGGATGGCTCCCACTGGGAGACTTCAAGTAGAGGCTGAAAGACCACTAGTTGGGTGTGTTATAGTAGGGGTTCCTTTTCAGGGATGGATTGGATTAGAGGGCTGCTGAAGTTCCTTCAGATTCTAGAATTCTGTGATTTTGTGATACTGCTGGTAACCCAGGTTCGCAGTCTAGGAGACTCCACTCTTCTTTATAACCCGTATCTACCCACTGAACAAGCATGTCTATTCTACTTCCATAACATCTCTCACATCTATCCCTTTTTTTCTCTTCGTTCCCAGGTTGACCTCACCTGTTCAGACCCTCTTCACTTTTTACCCAGACTACTAAAATAGCCTAATAATTGTCCCACCTGTTTCCAGTCTCTCTTCTCCCCATTCCATCCTCCACACTGCAGCTAAGTTGATATTTGAAAAAGCACAGGTCTGACCATGACATGTTCTGCTCAAGAAGCTTCTGATTTCCTTTTGGCCAAAGTACAAACTTTGCAACCAGCCTACAGCAGAAGCTGCTAGGTGGTGTACTGGATAGAGGGCTGGGCCTGGAGTCAGCAAGACCTGAATTCAAATTTAGCCTCAGATACTAGATGTGTGACTCTGGGCAAATCATTTAACATCTGGCTGCCTCAGTTTCCTCAACTATAAAATGGGAATATTCTGCTTAGTACAGTGCCTGGCACATAGTAGGAGCTACATAAATGCTTATTCCCTTTCCATACAAAACCCTTCATAATCTAGCTCCAGCCAGCCTTATTCTTACACATCCCTCTCCACACAACCCACATTCCAGCCAAATGGGCCTGCTTGTTGTTCCTTGTGCATAACATTCCCTCTCCAGTCTCTGTGCCTTCACAGAACCTGTCCCCCTCTGTTGGGAATGCACTCCCACCTTCCCTCTGACTTAAAGAACCTCTAGCTTCCCCCAGCCATTGCCCCAGTTGCCAGTATCCCCCACAATTACTTTGTATATTTTTTGTATTTATATTTATGTTACTTCTGGCAATATAATATAAGCTCCTTGAGAGCTTATATTATTAAAGCTATCTATAGTATCTATAGTAAGAAGGAGGCAGCTCCATAGTTCGTTCTTTGGATGTGGATAGCATTTTCCATTACGAGGCTTTTGGAGATGTCTTAGATCCTTGTATTGCTGGGAAGGGTTAAGTTTATCAATATTAGTCATTGCACAATGTGGCTGTTATTGTGTACAACATTCTCTTGGTTCTGCTCACTTCACTCAGCATCAGACCATACAAGTCTTTCCAGGTTTTTCTGAAGTCAGCCTGTTCATCATTTCTTATAGCACAATAGTATTCCATTACATTCACATACCACAACTTGCTCAGCCATTCCCCAGTTGATGGGCATCCTCTCAATTTCCAATTCTTTGCCACCACAAAAAGAGCTGCTATGAATATTTTTGTACATGTAGGTCCTTTTCCCATTTTTATGATCTCTTTGGGATACAGACCTAGAAGTAGTATTGCTGGGTCAAAGGGTATGCACAATTTTATAGCCCTTTGGGCATAATTCCAAATTGCTCTCCAAAATGGTTGGATCAGTTCACAACTCTACCAACAATGCATTAGTGTTCCACTTTGCTCTTTTTATTTTTTTTTTTTTTAGGTGAGGCAATTGGGGTTAAGTGGCTTGCCCAGGGTCACATAGCTAGTAAGTGTCAAGTGTCTGAGGTCAGATTTCAACTCAGGTCCTCCTGACTCCAAGGCTGGAGATCTGTCTACTGCATTACTTAGCTGCCCCTTAGTGTTCCGCTTTTGCCACATCTCCAACATTAATCATTGTCTTGTTTTGTCATGTTAGCCAATCTGATAGGTGTGATGTGATACCTCAGAGTCATTTTGATTTGCATTTCTCTAATCAATAGTGATTTTTTACTGTTACTATAGATAGCTTTAATTTCTTCCTCTGAAAACTGCCTGTTCATATTTTTTGACCATTTATCAATTGGGGAATGACTTATATTCTTATAAATTTGACTCATTTCTCTACATATTTTAGAAATGAGGTCTTTATCAGAGACACTGGTTATATAAATTCTTTCCCAGTTTTCTGCTTTCCTCCTAATCTTGGACACATTGGTTTTGTTTATGCAAAAACTTTTCAGTTTAATGTAATCAAAATTACACATTTTACATTTCATAATGTTCTCTATCTCTTGTTTGGTCATAAATTCTTCCCTTCTCCATAGATCTGAAAGGTAAACTATTCCTTGCTCTTCTAGTTTGCTTATAGTATCAGTCTTTATATCTAAATCCTGTGTCCATTTTGACTTTATCTTAGTATAGGGTGTAAGATGTTGGTCTATGCCGTTTCTGCCATACATTTTTCCAGTTTCCCCAGCAGTTTTTGTTAAATAGTGATTTCTTATCCCAGAAACTGGAGGCTTTGGATTTATCAAATAGTAGATTAGTATAGTCGTTGAGTGTTGTGTCTTGCATACTTAACCTATTCCACTGATCCACCACTCTATTTCTTAGACAGTACCAACTAGTTTTGATGATTACTGCTTTATAATTCAATTTAAGATTTGGTACAGCTAGGCCACCTTCCCTTGCATTTCTTTTCATTAGTTCTCTTGATATTCTGGACTTTTTGTTCTTCCAGATGAATTTTGCTATTGTTTTTTCTAGCTCTATAAAATAATTTTTTGGTAGTTTGATTGGTATGGTGCTAAATAAGTAAACTAATTTAGATAGAATTGTCATTTTTATTACATTAGCTCGGCCTACCCATGAGCAACTGATGGGTACAATTATTTAGATCTGACTTTATTTGTATGTCAGATCCATTTCTTGAAGGGGGTTAGGTAGGGTGGGGAACCAGCGGCCTCGAGGTCACACGTAGCCTTCTAGGTCCTCGGGTGCATCCTTTTGACTGAGTCCAAGTTTTACAGAACAAATCCTTTTATAAAGGGGATTTGTTCTGTGAAGTTTGGATTCAGTCAAAGGGCAGCACTTGAGGACCTAGAGGGCCACGTGTGGCCTGGAGAAACCTGGTAGGACCAAGCCTAAAGTCAGCACTCTTTCACAATGGAGGAGCTACAGGCATCGTGCCAGTCAGCTAACAAACGTTTATTAAGCTCTTACAGTATGACTCGCGTTGTGCTCATTAGTGGGCTCCTCTCTTCATGGAGGCAGACAGACGAGCAGGAGAGGGGCTGCAGGGAGGCATCTTTGGCGTCAGCGGCGGCGGAGGGGACGCCAAGCTGATGGAGGGGGTCTCCGCCTCTGGCTACCTGCGCCTGCCTCTGCCCCTCCATTTCTCGTCGGTCTCTCTGCCCATCCTCGTATCTCTGAGCATCTCTACATTTGTCCAGGATCCAGACGCTTTCCTCCCTCAGTTTCCCAATCTGTGGCATCACCGCCTTTAGCCCCTGTAGCCCGGTGCTGCCCGCACCGCCCACCGAGGGAGCCCCGCCCTCCCGCAGCAGCCCCGCCCTGCGCCCTGCACCAGAGAAGGCCGGGCGGTGGCCCAGCCCTGGGCGGGGGCAGGGCTTGGGGCCCGCGTAGCCGCGCATCCGGAAGCGCCCAGCACTCCACAGTCCCCGCCTCGGGAGCCTGCACTCTCCATCCTTCAGTCCCCAGTCCGCAGTCCCCAGCCTGCAGCCTCTCGCAGCCGCAGCCGTCATGCCGGTAAGTCGCGCCGCTCGCGCCGCTTTCCTTTGTTCAGGATCCGCTCGGCCCGAGGGACCCTTCGCTGAGCCCGGCGCCTGCCGCTGCCCCTGCCCCTTCCCAAACATTTCGCTGCCTGCACCCCGCCGTGCACCTGCCGGGGGGCCGAGGTTTAAAGAGCCCGGGATTCAAAGAGCGGGCTCCCGGAAGAGGGTATGTGAAAGAGCTCGGTCCTTCCTCCCGAGATTCTTCCGTCCTCTAGTCCTGCCACACCCTGACCACCTAGGGCAAAATTCGAGAGGAGCCCCCAGATCCCAGCCAAGCCTTGGGCCCCTCCACATCTTGGGCCTGTAGCCTTTCAATTCAGTACTCTCAGACCCTGGCGCCCATATGCTATCCATACTCTTTGGCCCCCTGGGGATCCCTGAGCCCTAGTCCGAAAACCCTTCAGAAAATATGCAGAGGCTATAAAAGGAGCCTGGTGGAGGTGGTTGGGGAGGAGGAAAACCAGCATTTCTTAATGCTACTATGTACCCAGGCACTGTGCTAAATGCTTTGCAAATATTACCTTATTTGATGTAGGAGTGCATGGGGCCTGACCAAGACCTGTGGTATGAAGTCTGCGTTATCTCTGGCTTATCATTTTTTTTTTCTTTTTTGAGGAGGTTGGGCTCCTGCATTACCTAGAGGCTTCCCCATACTGCTTTTCTTCTACCTTTTAGGAGGTTGTCGATCTCCTCATTACTAGGGTCTGGTAAAATTTCCTAGATTAGGAACCAACTCTGACACAAAGACTAGGGCTGTTAATACTATACATCTGTAATAAAGCTGTAACTTTTTTCAAATATATTTTCTTTACTTTTTCTCATTTTTCTAAATGAGGAAAGTGAGGCTCAGAGAGGTGATAAATGAACATTGATTTATGTTTCTTAGTGGCAGAGGGTGGACTAGAACACAGATCTCTTGACTCCCAAGCCTCATTCTGGTAATCTCAAACATACAAAAGGATGCCCTTGTTTACATAGAAGGCCCAGAAAAAAATAACCAAGAGAGTTAATTTATAGGATACAGTTAGTTGGGGTCCGCAGAGATGGCTTTGGGGTTTTAGGGGAAAGACTATTGGTAGTCAGAAGACCTAAATATGAGTACGGTCTTCTACACTTACTAAAGTGTATGACCTTGAAGATCCTGTGTTTCATCATCTGTCAAAAAGAATTAACAATACTTGCACTTAAGTTAGCCTTGAACAGTGGATAGAAAGACATCCTTAGAGTCATGAAGACCTGGGTTCAAGAGATGCCTTTAACACATACACTGGCTGTGTTTCTTTCCCTGAGCCATTAAACAAGACTGTAAATTGTAGATCAGGCACCGACCTATATTAGTAAAAAGAATTTTCCCTCAATGAAATCACAAGTTCCATCCAAACAAAAAAAATATTTGCAGTACTTATTTCACAGGGTGTTTCTGAGGAGGAAATGAGATAAGTGTATATTAAAATATTGTGTAACTATTAGTTCTCATCATTCTGATTTTACATCCAGTTCCTCCTGAAAGTGCCTGAGACAGTGTTCTGCCCACAGTGGGTAATCTATGCCAGGTGGTGTCCCTGAGGCTTTCTGTATCCTAGCAGCCTGTCTTTGGAGAGTTATTAGGTAACCTGGAAGAATTCCAGGATTTGTCTGTCCCAGGTATTTATCTCTCAGAACCAGACTCATTAAGTAGGGCTTGAGAGAGAAACCACAAACAAAAGAGACAAAGCTCCCTGGCCAAAGAACTGGACCGATTAGCTCTCCCATGCCCGGAAAGTCTCATTTAGAATTGTGAAAGGAAAGCCTCACCCCCGGAGCCGGAGCCGGAGCCGGAGCCGTGGGGTTAATCTCCCTGGGACAGGAGGGAGACCCACCCAGTGATGTATGGGCGCCATGGAAGGGCCTCGAATTGGCTCCTTCCTTTTGTGGGTCCTTATCTTCCATAGGCAGTTGGCCCTTGGTCTTGGTGTATATCGGGTCAACTTCTGGACAGCGTTCTTAGGGAGGGACATTGACAAGAGCTGGGCAACCAGGATGGTGAAATAACTCAAAACTATGTTGAGTGAGGATGCTTTGAAGGAGCTGAAGTTGGATTAGCCTAGAAACAGGACTGTGAGGGGTGGGCATGATTATGGTCTTCAGATATCTAAAAGAATGTGTCATTTACCAAATGAGTTCATGTAGATAGAGCATTCTGTGAATGTAAAGCACTCTATAAATGCAGGCTGTTATTATTGTGTAGAAGATGGATTCTGTGAGACGAAGCCAGAAAGGAAATTAGAACAGCATTGAAAGAGACTGGGAGGTCATCTCACCCAACCTCTTCACTTTGCAGAGGAGGAAACTGAAGCCCAGAAAAGGGAAGTGATTTTTCCAGTGAATCGGTGGCAGAACCAGGACTTGGAACAGAGGTCACCTGACTCCTAATTCATTGCTCTTCCTTTCATACAACTCTAATAGTTTTTGCCTGTGTACAATTACAGTAAAGAGGGAAGGGGGTGGGGCAAGTTTAAAGGTTCATGTCAGCTTAGAAGAAACCATTCATGATCAATAACAGTAGTCATAGCTGATATGCTTAAAGTATATATGATATGCTTAAGTAGCTTAAAGTTTGCAAAGTGAGCAGTTAGGTGGCACAGTGGATAGAATGCTAGGCCTGGAGCCAGGAAGACCAGAGTTCTAAAATGGCCTCAGACTCTTACTGGCTGTGACCCTGGGCAAGTTACTTAACCTCTGTTTGCCTCAGTTTCCCAATCTATATAATGGGGATAATAACACCTACTTCCCAGAGTTGTTGTGAGGATTGAATGAGATGATAATTATAAATGAATTAGCACGTTGCCTGGCACATAGTAAGTGCTACATAAATGTTAGCCATTATTATTAGTAATAATAATAAGATAGTGAAGCATTTAGCACAGTGCCTGGCATATAGCAAGTCCTGTATAAATGTTAGCCATTATTATTAATAAGAAGATAATAATTATAAAGTGCTTAACACAGTGCCTGGCACATACATAGTAAACGATATATAAAGCTAGGTTTTTATTATTATTAATAAGATAATAATTGTAAAGCACTTAGCACAGTGTCTGGCATATAATAAGTACTGTATAAATGTTAGCTATTATTCTTAGTCTTTTTAATAACAAGATAATGCTTGTTTAGCACTTAGCATAGTGCTTGGCATATAGTTAAGTTCTATATAAATGTTAGATAATATGATGATGATAATGATAATAATTGTAAAGTGCTTAACACAGTGCCTAGCACATAGTAAGCACTGTATAAATGTTAGCTATGATTATTGTTCTCTTGAGCCTCATAACCATCTTGTGAGGTAGAGATGATACTCACTGCACAATAGACGGTTGACCTTCATCCCTGGAATAAGCATGGTATGGGTTTGGAGTGCTTCTGGTATTTTCCATCCCAGAAAACATAAAATCTCAGAGCTGGAAGGAATCTTAGAGATCATCCAATATTTGAATCCATTCTTCCCACTATAGCTTCCCTGAAAAGTGATCTCTTTGCTTCTGCTTTAACTTTTCCAGCAATGGGGAACTCATTCTTTATGGAAACAACCTTATCTGCCTGCTGTCAGGCTGTCTGATTGTTAGCTTTTTCCTTATATTGAGCCAAGATCTGCCTTCCTGTGACTTCTAAGTCTGTGGAGGGTAGATTATGGTGGGAGTGCACTTTTATTTGAACGTAGTTTTTCTTCTACTTAATGGTGCTTCCAAATGTTATTTTTCTGTTGTTATAAGTAGCATATGAGGAAGGACTTTCCAGTTCTAAGATTCCTTGTAAACTGAATAAAACATTTGATCAATGTATCTTATAATTGGTGTACAGCTCTCACTCCAAACCCTTCCTAAAGAAAGAAGACTTAGGGGGAAGTTCTGGACAATAACTGCAGTGAGTATTCATTAAATATTTTCTAAAATATTGAAGAGAGGAAAGACTGATTCTTAGGAGTACAATGTAGACCAGGGATGTTAAACACAAATAGAAACAGGACCACTAAACCATATATAAGGATCCTTGTGAGAGCATATTGACTTAGAGAACTATGTATTAATGTTATCTATGTTTTATTGTATTTTACCAGTTAGGAGGCTAATAAAATAGTCCAGGTGATCAATAATAAGAACCTGAAGTAGGGTGGTAACTGTGTGAGTTGAAGGGAAGAGATGAAGGAAAGAGATTAAAGAGATAAAATCTATAAGATTCAGTGACTAATTCCACTTGTGAGATGAGTGAAAGGGAGGAATTAAGGTGATTAAGAGAGAGAAGCTGAAATGATTTTACTTTTTTGCAAGTTTAATATATGCAAAATTTGTACGTAAGAGTTTTGTCAGACTCCTCAGCTTGATGTTTAAAAAAAGCCTTTTCAACTTAGACCCAAAATTTTATTCTGTGTGATCCTGGCAGACTGACTAAACCAGGTTGAGGGCAATCAAGGGGCCTCAGACCCGTCGGTGAGTTAGGAGGGTGTCTACCCCAAACATATGAAAACTTCCCCCGATAAAATGAGTGGATGAGAACAGTTTGTTCCAAAGACAATGAAGGCAACTAAAAGCAGGCACGGTGGAGTGCTTAGAGCTTGGTTAGACATGGAAGATGCCAAGGTCATCCCCTGCATCCTGGGCCATCACCAATCATCTTGACTTTTGTCTTGCCACTGGACTTTGATGACTCTGGAAGAGAGAGTAAGGCTGATGACTTTGCACGACTCTGCCTCACTTGAATCCAGTTTATGTGCAAGTCAAAAGATATCACCCATACCATTTTACCATTTTTACCTACCTTAAAGTCTTGTGGCAACTGACAAGTGATGAAGATGCGGATACGCTGGGAGTTATAGTCACAACCATGCACAAAGGCAGCCCAAACCATAGGGTTGTTTTCTCACTGGACTAAAGCAGCAGTGGGATTCAGCAGCCTCCTGGGTGTCTGAGCAGCATTTTTAAAGGACTGCACTGCTCA